CCCCCCCTCTCCCTTTCCCCGTCCACTTTCTGCGACCCAAAATATTTTCAATTCAATTTTCTCCCAGTTAAAAGCATGCCTTCTGCCAGATCATTTCACTCAAATGACAAAGACAGAGGCATTCCTCAAACACCGTACAATGAAATCTTTTTCTTTTTAATTTAGTACTTCTTTAACCACTTTCATTTATTACATTCCAGCACCGACAGCACCACCCCATGAAAAATAGCACAACTTCCCTTTGCGTGCTTTCCCTTTCCACAGAACTGGAACTTAAAAAAGCCGGAAATCTTAGCCAAAGGCTTAAAAGCCCACGAACCAACGGAATGGGCGATGTTTTCAACTGTATCTCCTCCAACGGTCACTCTGTTATATGCTGCCCACCTTCTACTATCAAATCGTAAAATGCTGCAAATGTGTTCAATCTAAAAATTATTGTAAGTTTCTTTCCCTTTGAAAAAATCGCCGCCATACTGGACAAAATCAGGGCTCAGATGAGAATTTTTCACTACTGATCTTAAAAAACCGAAGTTACCCCCCTCCCCTCAGCCCTCCCTCCTCTTCACCTTCGCTCATTTCACCCTCTAACAGATGCAAATAATCGGAGAAGCCGAATGACAGCATATTTCGGTGCCAACCATCTGTTGTTACGATTATCATTATTCCCCACTTCTAAAAGCTATTTAGATGACAGCCTTTCAGTTCTCTGGAACAAATCGTACAGGAATTTAGTTTACCATCAAAGAAATTGGATCATTCTTTTTCAATCTGAATGACGCTAGATACCAGTATTTTTGTTAGATATTTACTTAAAAAGTTAGCAGCAAAAAATTAATGACCAGTCTCGTTTGATAAACATTTAATTTTTCTGAACAGTCTGACTACTGTTTTTTTTAATATGCATAAAAAATGAGAAACTTACGTTTACATTAAGACCACACTATAGCTGTGAATCCCCCAGAAAGCTTTCTTAAGAGAAAATAATTATCTCTCACAAGACTGAGAGGGCAATGCACAAAATCTGGAAAATCAGACCGTGGCTAGTAACTAAGTAAGCACAAAAAAAACTAGACAAATTAGCACAAATTGCTATTACAGTCAAATATAGATAGAGCGAGATGCTTCGAAAGACTAACACCACAACACAGCACGTTGTCGAAAGTAATGAAGTGAACAGCAGAAGACCAGCAGGCGATGACTTTTTGGTATCACAGTCCTGAAGGCGTGAAGGCACGTGTTATGAAAAGACAACAGTGAACAAAGCAGCGGTGTAACAGCGATCACAGCCCTTTATTCTGGGACCTGCCCCGTAGATGAATGTTACCCGATTTATAGGAGTTTCCGTTAGCCAATGGCAAAAATCACAGCTCAAACTGCTTAGAAAGATGTCACTTAAGTTGATTAACAAGTCAACGAAATAAAAGTGAACTTACTTCCCAGGCAATTTGACGGTGGTCCCGCTCCTGGCGAATAGATCTGAAAGTAACACGACCTTTAAAAAAACTGCAAATTATGATACACCTTAACCATATATGGACATACAAGCATAGGCAGCAGATTCATACTAGCGAAGATAAACCCGGACAATCATAAAACGATAAACGCTGCTCAAAAGGCAACGAACCGGCTCTCTTCCGTCCATCGCATCAAGCCACTGCCTTCGATCCTCTTCAGACAGTGCCTGTAGTGTCACTGGTTCTGCGCGATCTATTGCCAGAACGTCGAAACAGAACCTGAAAACAGCCTCGATAACATTGAAAAAGAGCAGTATATCAAGCAATTTACGATACAGAGCATTTACTATCAATGCGAGTCCCAGCCACCAAAATAGCTTTTGTTTCTTTGACTTTTCTTTCTTTGACTTTGACTACAAAATTAGGCATTTTCAAGCTAACGTATCCCAAATATGTGACACTTCCTAATATATGCCGGTATCTGGTGAAACCGGACCGCCGGCCTCTAGCAAAAAACTAGCGCTGCTTGAGGTGTGACTTTTGGCTCGATCTTTCCGAAGAAGTCAAGTAGAACTCAAATGTCAAGTAGTGGTCGAGCGCTTTCATGCGAAACATCAAAGGGATTCAGCCAGGAGGTACTGGCATATATGCTAGGACGAAAAAACCAGCACGAGCTCGCTAAAACTTTCCCCCAAAGGGAAAACCACTGACAGCTTTGCCGTGCAGTGGCTGGTTTTGGCACCTGCTCCCAATCAGCCCACTTCCGAATGCCTCAACCTCACACAAAGAGATTGAATTACAAAAGGGATTTTGTTTTAGATTGAAAATGAAATAATAAAAAACCTCTTGTCAATACTATCTGATGCTCTTCTTGTGCACGATTTTAGTTTGAATGACACGGACTGACCAAGAGCGCCCCTCATATCCTATAAATGTGCAGTTCAGGAAGAACTAGTAACTCAAAGATTACAGCACTTTCTGAGGTTTTGCAAAACAACTTCACGCTTACAGTGGAGTTATTCAAAATTGTTCTGCAAAAAAAAAACAAAATAAAAGTTTACTTCGAGCACTTGATTTGCTGATAGATATAAAATTTTAATCTAGCGCTGATCAGGCAAATATGAGGAGGTACGACGAAAAAGTCAAAGAAGCACTGCTATCACACTTAAAAATCGACAGTTGAAACGCCGCTATCGAACTTGCGAAAATTTATCCGTCAAGTTCGCATACAAAAATTTGTTAGTTACCAAAACAAATAGTGTTTGAATAAAAGGACTGATTGAAAAGCACTAATTACCAAAAAAAAATTTGATAAACAAATAAAACTGTTCGCTTTTACGTGATGCTCTAGATGCTCTCCAATGCAAAACATTTTCAGTTGACACGCAAAAAATTAGAAACACTTGCAAGACGCACTGAACGAAGTGTATCACTTCCAGAAAGCAAATGTTAACAAAAACCCAGGCTGGGACGCACCAGGCAAACCGGTGAGGTCATGCGTTTTTGCACTATTCCGTGCTGCAGTAAGCTCGTAAAGAATCACAGTAGTTAGAATTTTTAACATACTGGCCCTCGAATTTCAGGAAGTTAATTGTGCAGCTGTGCGGCATATCAGTTGTAGATGTCGGCTTCAGTGACCCAAGAAATGGAAGGTTGGTGATACGCGAAAAAGACCCCACTAAAACAGCTGAACAAGAAATCCTTTAGTTGCAAATGAGTAGGGAACACCCCCTTCCAGCTTCCTCGTTCCCGAGTTAGCAATTTTCCCGCCAAAATTTCCACTTGTCCGTGCGTGAGTCCCACGCCAATCTAAGAAGCTGAATTTGAAATCTTCCGACCGTGCGTGAGTAAGGAACATTCCTCTAAAGTTTCAATTTTCTTGCTTTTCTCGTTCCCAAGTTACCAATTTCCTCGCCAAAACTTTCACGTGGTCCTACTTGAGACGAGGAAATGTGTAACAGTTGATATCTTGCTCCTGAAGTCAGAACTGGCCAGGGAACGCATTGGCAAAGTATCACCATCAAAGCTTGCGTGGTTAACGAATAGAAATACTCGGACAGTCGAACACACACGCACATGCGCGAACACACACACACACACAAACATACACAGACACAAGCAGGGTCTCTGCAATATACATTTTTGTCGCCTGTTGCAGCGTTGTAGCGCTGCACGACAAAAACACGTAATGACAGCACCAACACTGAAATTAACCACACCTTATCAGCTTCCTCGCTACATAACCGATCAAAGAAGGATGTCGACAACTATGCCCCAAATAAATTTTCTACTGAAACGACATCTAAACGAACCGTTTTTGCTGTACTGTTCACAGGAATCATTGTGAATATTCGTGTCTCTTTCTGATACACACAATAATACATTGTCCATCGATTCGACAGCACATCTCTACCAATTGTCTCTAAAGGAAACCCACTACACATACACATCCGCACCAATACAACGATAAAATACTAATCAAATGAAATTGAAAAGACATACTTGGAATTTTACTTTTTTCGTGAGCAAAAATATAGCCTTGTTTAATACTAGAAACAGATCGAGGTACTGCATTCTCGCTAGCACCATCACTTTCACCCGTTTGAAAGACCTGAAACTCGGAAATTAGCAGATTTTTATGACTTGGATGTCACAAACAGATTCTATTTTTGGCTCAAAACTTGATACAACATACTTAGTAGTCTAGAACATAGCATGTGCGCTCAAAACGATTTAAAACTTAGTAAAAGAGCAACAGGCCAAAAGAGATTCTCTCAAAAGCGGTGTATTTAATAAAATTTAATCAATCGTCTATTCGCACGCGCGCGATTCA